TGTCAGACTTTGTTGAAACATCTCACAGTCTAATATACCTCATTCTTAACTGAAAAGGAAGTTTAAACTGCCAATATTACACTATCCCCTAATTTTTACTATGAAGACAAGATGCAATCATTAGCACAATACACAAGCATCTGAATATTGTTTCACTGCTTAGTAATCACATATAATAATGTCACAACCTAGTTAAAAGATTCCATAATCCAATTTGAACAAAATATGAAGCTCATTTCCCACTATGTCTAATTAGATAAACATATCTCCAATGCTGTACTTCTCCCTGCACAGTTTTTAAATATATATACTTCAAGGCCATAAACCCAGCTATTCTTTTCAGATCATTTTCTTTATAATCTTTGTAAAATCAGTATTACAGGATTGCTTCAAAAAGCAAGTATGGACCAGACACCAACCAGAAATACAAATACCTCTTTTTAAAATTAGTATTTGAACTTTGAACTCCCAGGCTGAAAACTAGCTTTGCCCAAGCTATTGCACTGCATACGTTACTTGTTAATGTTGTGTGTCCCCCAAAAAGACCCAGTCAATATTTTACTTTCTTTGAAGGGAGAAGACCTGTTGGTTCTGTCCCTCAGTTCAGAACTAATGTTTTCTGAGCTTTAATCCATGCTTGTAAAGAAATCAGCTATTTAAGAAGTCAGAACATGCTCAGGGACATTCTTTCACAGATCAGATTTTGAGTTTAATCTGCAATGAATCTTGAATATAAGGCTTCTAGTGTTCTATTTTTACCAAGTTTATCCTTCTGATATGAAATATATTTTCACACTTTAGAGATTAAAGTTCCATTGTTTATATTAGGAGAAGTGTTTAGGGTAAAACTAGTTTTAAAAAACTGTGAATCTATCACATTTAGACTCTTTATACTGATTTAAAAAAAAAAGTTAGCAAACATACACTGTATTATTCTAATAGCTTATAACAAGAAAGAAAATAATTTTTACTCTTATTAAAATACAAACAAAATTATTTCTATTAAAAACGTTGGTTGGATTGCCTCACCCTTCTCAAGAAAACATACAAAGCCTTAATTTATACTTATGAATATACATATGCATGGTCCATTTGTCATTTAAGTCAACAGTGCAAATCACACACTTAAAATTAAACACACACATAAAAGTTTTCATGACATTCCTTAGACAAGTTTAAAAATGTTAAATAATTATCACTCCATATGCCCATCCTAGGCAAAAACTGACACCAATCTAATCACTTCTCAAATACTTTTCAGCAGAATCATGTTGTTCTACAGTAAAATGCAAACTCTAGACCAAATTTTTCCTGGCTTTATATGTGCAGATGCATTTACAGGTTCATCCCCCCAATAGCTTTTATTATCTGCTAATTCATCCAAAGAAAGGTTATCTAAACCCTGTCTCCCATAAAACTTAGTAGATAGACCAATTCAGGAGGGTATCTGCAACTGGACCACAGGCTGAAGTCACAGTGCACAGCATAAAGAAAATATAAAGTCATATTTTCTTTTGTTTTTCCAGTTTGTTCTTGTATCCTGGTTTTGGCCTGGAGTTAGGTTTCTTCCTAGTAGCTGGTATAGTGCTGTGTTTTGGATCTAGGATGAGAATCATGTTGATAACACGCTGATGTTTTAGCTGTTGCTGAGCAGTGTTTACAATTAAGTCAAGGACTTTCTAGCTTCTCCTACTGCCCTGCCAGCGAGTAGGCTGGGGGTGCACAAGAAGCTGGGAGGGGATACAGCCAGGACAGCTGACCGAAACTGGCAAAAGGGCTATTCCATACCTTATGACATCATGCTCAGCATATAAACTTGGGGGAAACTGGCCAGGGGTATGACCGCAGGTTGAGGACTGTGTGGGAAGTCAGCAGGTGGTGAGCCATTGTGCTGTGCATCACATGTTTTGTATATTCTTTTATAACTATTGTCTTCCTTTTCTGTCCTATTAAACTGTCTATCTCAATCCACAACCTTTTTTTTTTTTCTCCCTCCTGATTCTCTCCCCCATCCCACTGGGAGGGGACAGGCACCGGTGAGCGAATGGCTGTGTGGTTGTTGTAGCTGCCTGTTAAGTTAAACTACAAGAACTTGTACAGTTTTGGCACATACTTCTTTTCTCATGACTGTTCCGTTTCCCAGGAATTTCTCTGCCTCATTGTCCATTAATCACTCTTCCTTCTATCCTTCCTTCTTATTCCGCACAAAGAAAATCTTGAGAAAGAAACTGTCACTGTCAAAACTTTTAACCAAGCTTCCAAGAAAAACAAAAGAAACACGTCTGAACAATGTATTGTTTTTAGGGTACTTTAGCTAGATAAGTTCCTCCACCAATGAGCTTTACCAACAGAAGACAAGAGATATTTTAATCCAGTATCCTGACGTTGTTTTGTTTAGACCATCCTTCCACTTCCAGTACTTCTCATCAAGCTTAAATGATTTTTCATTCAGGGCTAAGCTGTGTCAGTAAAAGTTGAATTTGGCTCTAACACGCATAAAAAGAGAAGCACAATGCATTAAATACATTTAAGCAGAATCATGTTGTTCTACAGTCAAATGCACAACTGACTAAGCTATGCCTCCTGCATTCATTATTCTTTACTAAAATAGCCAAAGACAGACACAGACAAGACAGAACATGATGTGGAAAAGTTTATACTAAAATACTGGCAGCCCAAAATAGTTGTATTTACTGCTGATATCAAATTCCATCAATATTTAGACACTGCAGGTGCCTGTTATTGATTCACAGCAAATGCCTGCTTTTCTAAACTAGTACTCATGCGTCAGCACCGTAACATGCAACTCAGGTAGTGGCAGCATATCAAACCTCCTAAGGACAAACCAGTCAGGGCAACAAACTTTTTTTGTTTGTTTTTTAAATATAGCACATGGAGATTTAAATGTTATCTCTGATTTTGTTCCCCCTCTCTCAGCAAGAGCAGCCCCATGGTGCTAGGATTCCCAGAGATTTATATGCCAGTGTTCTTGAAAAGCTCTTAGGATCAATGCAGTAATGTATGCCTGAAATAACTGATCTCTTACAAGTGCTGCTCTCTGGATAGCACCTTCTGTCTCTCACAGCAGTGTGAAATCTGACAAGCAATATCACTTAGAATAAGCAAAAGAGACACCAAGAGTTTACCAAAGACAATCATGTCTTTAAAAGTTATCTCCACCAAGCTATAGCAGGACTCAGAATGCATATGCTGACAAAATGCAAATAAAAAAAGCTCACGTCACTTGAAAACTGACAAAGTATATGTACCGAGCATGTTAGTATGTAATAACTTTTTTATTATTATTATTTTTAAAATTTATAATGTCAGAAGCAATTATGTAAGACAGTCTTCTGCAACAGTATCTCTAATAAAGGGACCTAAACATGAGAACTTTACTCAATAAGGCTATCCCAGCAACTCAACTGTTTTGTGTAGGTAAATGGAGGGGGAGGGAACAGAACAATATTTTAGGCATTGGTTTCATACAGCTTTTAAACATTCTTTTAATTCAATGACTCTGGTGATTTGAATGGTACTTAGTCTTCAATAAAAATTAATTTTAAAGTGTCCTTGTATATAAAGGACACTATGTATATGTCAATACTTCTATCAGACTTCAACAGCAAGTAAAAACACCAGTATACTCAAAAGGTTCTCAAAGCTACATTACTTAACCCCTTTTAGGAGTGTACAGTAGACAGCTGTTTAAAGATCTGGACCTATAAGGACTATTCTGCAAGCACACACTGCATTTCACTGCAACATATACAACCAAATGGGAAGAACTCAAACAGTCCCACTTGGAAGAAGTATTTTTATCCTCTTCTCCATTACTTAATTGATATTCTTCATGTTTCCCCTCTGACTGTATTAGTTTTCAGAGTTACAGGGTGCTCGGTTTTGGTTTTTCTTTAATGACTTCAGCCAACACCACACAGAACAATTTAGGAGTATCATGAAGCAATTATTTTTTTTTGCTAGAGGGAACAAAGTGACAATACGTGCTCCAAAGTTAGGTAAGAAAGGTGTGGTGTGCTTCAGCTAGTTACAACATTTAGACTTTCAGAGCCAAGGCAGTTGCAATTCTAGTGGCACAACCAGCATTCCTACTTTTTGAGAAGTGCTTAGCTCTGCCAGGCTATAATGTGGTGTATAGAGTTGCCATCCTGTTTAATGTTTAACTCCAACTATTCTCAGGTGTCCGTATCTAGGAATTTTTAATAAACCACAGCTTCGTTTTATTCCAAATAATATCTCCATAACAAATCTCCAGTAATTAAACTATACAAGAAACATAAAGGACAGAAATGTAATTACTGTAAAAAATGACACTAAAAATATCACAGTTACACTGAAAACCATTGAGTATTTTATACAGACATATAATGGGTCTCCAGAGGAAATGTTTGCCCACTTGAGTATACAGTCTATAAGTAAGCATTTAATTTTCTTAAGGGCAGCTGCTGCCATGATTCCACAAAAGTATCTACTATAAACTAACAGGAAGAATAAAATCACTTTGAAATTCTACATAAAACTGCAATTGGTTTATGCCTTTTAGAGGAGCAAGCATATTCAATACAGCTAAGCACTAAGCACCACTACAGTTAAGAGAGCTGAGAACACCCACAACTTTGCAGATCAGAACCTAAGCTTTATAAGCAACTGCCTGCTTTTCATCACTTTGTTAATTCTTTTAAAACTGCAGAGTACAGTAGGGTGGGTCATGTTAATCAAAAGCCCAAAGGCATTTTGTCCTTCAGGTAGAACTGAAGCACTGCTTAAAAAACAAGGAAAAAACCTAGAGTTTAATCAGCTGACCTTATCTTTGAAACCACAAACAAAGCAATCACTTTAGACCTTCACAGCTTTAGCAATAAAGAAAGTTCTCAACACTGCGTGCATTACACTAGCATTCACAATGCAACTTGATAAAGTGAGTTACAGCTTTCTCACTCTTTTTATTTAATGTTTAATTATTAAAAGTCATGACAAACCTGGGTCCACGTGTCTAGAGTTTCTTCTAATCCCATTCGTTCGTTTCTGCACAGCAAAAATACAAATCAAGGATAGGAATAAACATGTTTTCCTGTAGGCACATTACACTCCCTTCATTCCCACAATCTACTAGGCAAAGGTGGTTTTCTTAAATTATTTTCCCCAACCACCACCACATACTTTGAAAAATGTTCTTAGTAATATAGACAGGTTTTTCATATATCCCATTTTTTCTGACACTAGGCTCAAAATATTCTTAGTACATAGGTTTATTCATATATCAACATCTTTTGATACCAAGAACAAATTTATTTTTAATCACTTATGAATAGGATAGTAGAAAAATATGCAGTTTGGCATTATCTGCCCCAGATAGTGTCCACAAACACAAAAGTATCAAAGCTGCTTGCATTGCTTTAATAAGGTAGAAACTTTCACTATTCCTACTTTGTACTTAAGGTAACTAGAATTTCCTATACAATTCTTAATTTCCTTATTCTCTGGGCAAGTACATAAATATATTTAGTAACTTGCCTCTCTCTTTCTTTTAAATTTGGATGAACCAAAGCTGTGTGAAATCAGAAACTCTCTGACAAGACTGAGGCTTTTCTTAAAAAAAAAAAAAAAAAAAAATTTACGTATTTTATACTCCAAGGCACTTAATACGGATCCCTGAAAATTTCAACATGAAATAACGCTAATCTGTGAAGTACTGATCTGCTTTTGCAAACTTGTTTTAACTGGTAGCTTGCATGAAGGTTCATGTATTTATTTATTTTTTAATCAAACCAAGCAGAGAAAAGCATGTTGCATGACAAAGGGAACAATTAAGTTGCTCCAATTTACTTGCAGTTGATATAAGCTGATGCAGGACACACACTGAGGCAAGCCAGAAAGCAGTAACCTGAGGCACAACCAAATCACTAAGCCCTGTAGCAAGCTGGCAAAATGAAAAGTTTGTTTTAAAAATAGCTTTCAAACTTTTCAGTCTTTGGACATACTCTCTCTGTACCCTACAACTCTAAAGAAAGGATGCACTTTTCATTTCATCTGCAGTAGAAAGAAGAAAAATTTAAAACTACTGCTACAATGAAGGTAACACTACTGAATAAGAACAAAAGGCCCAATTATATCCTAGTTATTTTTTTTTAAATGGAGGCTGTATTGCTGATAAGGATTGATGCAGAGTGGTAAGTAACTGCAGAACGGCACAAGAGAGGGAAAGGGGCAGGAGTGGGAAAAGCAAGCACAAGGGAAGATACAGAAATGTTTAACAGAAAAAAAAAATAATTCTGTGACAACATAAGTCATATACACCAAAGGACTGGACGGAAAACAATTTTAAAGGAAATAATTCTTGAGCTGTATGAAAACATGCTCGAAACTCTTAAAATATATTGCGGTACCAGTAGATTTTATTATATTACTGGTATGAAATCTAAATCCCTGTTTTCCAAAATGATAGATCCTCATCTATGCTCAAGTTTCCTTCTGCACAGAGAGAATTAAAGCAGGCACGTAAAAAAGCATTTTGGTAAAATGAAAGCAATCCCAACGTTTTGGATCAACTCAATAGTCAATAGCAAATCAATAGGTCCAGAAAGTAAGTCATTTTTTCCTCACGAAATCAAGCTAGGGAGCGAGAAGCTGAGGAGCAGGAGGGATCAGATACAACCAGTAAACCCATTTTCTCCATCCAACCACAGTATGTTGACCACAGTTAGCTTTACTGAGTCCGGCAACCTTGTCCACAAGGCCCAGTAAGTGATATGTTTATGACTCCCCCGTGCTGCCAGTCAGCTGCGGTTCTGGGAGACTGTTAGGCCACGCTGCAACTTCCCGATTTTAGAGTGCCCTTACTCTGCAGACATTTCTAGGCAGGGACAGAAAAAGCCAGGCAGCATGTGGCAGGCGGCACGGCCGAGAGAGCAGCGAGGAGAGCAGAGCAGGCAGGCAGCAGCGTCTTGGGTCCAGCGCGGTCTGTGGTAGTGCAGCCCCCTCCTCACCTGGAGCTGCTACTGGGCCACCTCGCCCTTCCCCTGCTGCGGCTCGCACCCGCCTGAGGCCCACAGCCAAAGAGCTCGCCAAGGGTGCCAGGGCTCCCCTCGCTTAGCCCCCGCCGCCATCTCGGGTCACAGCGACACCGAAACAGCTCAAACATCAGAGAGCACAGGAGCGGTCAGTCCCGCACACGACACCCCTACACCCGTCACGTCAGCAGTAACATCCTGCTGATTCCGTTACCCTTTTTTTTTTTAGCGATAGTACCAAACACAGAAGTAACGTACACGCTCGTACATTGCTCATAGTCAATGTGTCATTTAAACAGTTAAATTACCATAAACTTCTGATCTAAAATATATGCTAAAAACTATTATAGTCCACGTTTAAAGCGCTGCCTCTCTCCTGTCAGAGCTGGCACACAAAACCTCAGTGCCGTGCCCTTCTGTACCTCAGAGGAAAGGCACCAGGAGATGGCAAGAAAATAACCCAGGGCAGCTTGCAACCTTCTTGGGCTGACGGCAAGGTACACGACATGCACCACAGTAGCTCCTCTGTACAGAAGCCATTTTACCATTCTCCCCAGATTCTATAAACTCCATAACCACTGGATAGCTCTGCAACTAGACTTTTTACATGAAGAGGCAAATACTGCCCTGCCAATCCTTCATCACCCAGTCTGGCACGGCAGAGCTTGGTACACTAGCGTGTTACTCCAGCAGGACTTGCTAGCATTAAAAAAAAAAATTAAAAAAAAATTACTTTTAACTCTACTGCCAGATTTGGTCTAGGAACAGTAAGGATCAGTTATAAAGCAATGTCTGTTTTTTCCTGTAACTTAAACACATATCCACCCCTTTCCAGTGCTCTCACCATTAAGCCATATCAACTGAAAATTAACTCACACTTTGAACAGAGTATATTTATATTTAATTATGAATACCTTATTTCTTAGACAACTTCTATTTTCCATCACTCTAAAGAAATGTGTTGTTAAACACAGAAGAAAAACATACCTGCTCCAGCAGCACATGCACAAAGTAAATAAGGAGCTCTTATGTCACCAACAAAACAAACATCACATGCAAAGGAAAATGAATCCTTACCTCATGTTTCAGGTTCCCATGTTCTGAAACGTAAGTAAAAATTGGCATTATTGGCGATTGTAAATTGTACACTTTTTCTATAGCAATGTCAGTCTGAGCTGCGTTGCATTACAGAAAACACTGCTGCCTCCTTTTACTACCTGATACCTGCAGCTGCTGGGGCTGTGCCAGGTCCTGTTGTGCAAACCCGGCTGCACTCCCCTCCCCGCTCGTCGGCCCTGCCCGGCAGCGCCCGGCCGCTGGGACGGGCTCCTGGCCCCGAGTGACACTGCACCTTCCAGCAGTGCCGCGGCAAGCTGGTCTGCTAAGCTTTATCAACTTTTAGAACGTTTCAAAATATTTTACAAATATTGACTCTTTGGGAATTCAAAAGCTACAGGTCTTCATTGCAAGTCAAGTTTACACCTTTTCTTGTCTCTGTCGTTTCACAGCATGCTTACGTACGTCAAGATAAGATGTACGTTTTTAGCTTCAAAATTTTCTGTATTTCGCATCTTTAAGTTCAATTCAGCATTGCATTAGTGTATCACAGATTCTGAAGTCATTGGTGTTTAATTTGCCTCTTTTGCTATGAATTTCCTTGTACTATTTAAAACTGAAGGGAAAAAAAAATATATAGTCCTGTGGGAGATCAGGACTGCATCGAGACAGTAATACTTTTGCACACACACATCACACCACAGTACATGACACAAAAAGGAGGGGGTTTTTTACGTTTCTCCTTGAATGTCTAATCAGATAACAGATATTTGGGTGTTCTCTAGATTTTGGTTCGGTGCCTTATCAAAGCGCACACAGCTGTATTTACCTGCACGCGTGCTCTAGGACTGCACACGCTGTGGAGGCAAAGCGCTTACTGCACACGCCTGGTCTGTACTTGTGAAACCTTTTACTGAAATAGCTTGTGAACAGTAAGCCATATTCACAGTAAATCAACTAAAAAGCCTTAATTACAAGTAGATCTACCCTGCTAAAAAAAAATTACATTAAACAGTAAAGCGTGGGAAAAAATAATCTTTGGCTTTCTAGCATTTTATGCAAAGATGATAAGGCATGCCAAGACTGAGCACGCCAGCTGAGGACTCTGGGCCGGGCCAGGGAGGCACAGCCTGTTTACCACAGAGTGCTCTCTTCACGTATGCTTTCAGGCACCGCTTCCTCTCTCATACAGCGCGCCAAAGGCGCATCATCTGTCATCCACAGAAAACATTTTTATGATTATAAACTTTCCAAAAGTATTTCCAAAAGTACAGTGAGCAAAGAGAAGAAAAATAAGCCCGCCCCAAAGGAGGAGAGGCGGGTAGACTACTGAGGAGCCTGAGGGAATTTGTTGCTTAAACATGGCTGAAATTCAATAGAATTTGGGTATTTACTTTCGCAATTTGATATGCCTTTCAGAATTTTGCCAAAATCTGAATAAAATCATCTTTTTTTGAATATTTCACCTCAGCATTTCACCTTGTGAATATTTCACCTCAGCATTACAAATGGCTTCAAATGAAGGGAAGTCAGTCATTTAGGTAAGTACTTGCAGAGGGGGCCAAAACTTCAAGTCTAGACTTGGGTTTTTTCTGTTTCTTTTTTAAATGGCCTAAATTTAGTTCAACAGATCTCTTATCAAAAAACTGAAGTGGAAATATTATTCTATCCTCCACTAGGAATGAATGAATCTGATTTTTAATGGTTGCTGTTGAATATTACTTTTACCTCTAAGAACTACCCCAAACAAAACCAGATGAATGAGTTCCATTTGGTGATTGCAAGCATCCCAATACTTTTCATAATAATTAAGAAACTCAGTGATTAACTTTCAGTAATTGAATTTAAGAAGTCACTACACAGGAAGGTAATAAATGCTCCTGATAATTTGCATAATTTCATTAAAGGGAGGGGTGTTTATTAAAAAAAAATTTTAAAAAGGCCAAAACATTGCCAACACTGATAGACCAAAATGCCATTTGTGACTTCACTATTAACACTTCAGGAATAGAAAAATATCCAATATCTGTATTGCCGTATAAAAGCCAATTCAAAAAATAAGACTTAAGTTTGTCTTATATTTCAGTATAATTTAAATATTCCAGTATTTCAGAATAATCCATATTGAATTATGTGACTTGTTCATGAGAGATCTTTTTTCCAAATGTTACACAGGTACAAGAGTAAAAAGCCTCATTTGTATTGATTTCTATTTTTAGAAAAAAATGAATGTCTGAGGTATCCACCAGCAGATATTTTACACATGACAATTTTAATTCAAGTTCCTGCTTATCACCAATGTGCCAATGAAATTATCAAATGAGTGAGTTCACGGTTCCGACAGCAAGCTACTTTTACTACCATAGTTCAGCACAATTTTTAGGCTTTTTGTTTATTCACTGAGGCCATAATACCATTGTGCCACACTTTGATAATTATATTTTCCTACAAAAGCAACAGGAGCAGCAGTTGGCCTTGATAAGTGAGGGAGCACAGATCGTAAAATGGGAATAAACTGCTCCTTAGGGATGCAACAGAGCAGCTGGATTTACATGCTAACTAAATGGAGAGTAAATAAAAAGGATATGTAGTAAACTACTCACCTTCCTATTTTAAAAGAAAATTCAAAATATTTAAAATGCAGGAAGTATAAAGTAAGCCACTTTGAAGAAGTTGTGGGACTATCTGCTCCTTTCTGCTCATTTAGCCAGTCATTGCATAAATCAGAAGAAAAGCAAATTGTGACCTAGAAATACCATCGTGTACGATTCCGCACAAAGTATCGAGTCCCCAAGTGACTTTTGTTCAGGTTGAGCAAGGATGGTAAGTTAAACAATACAGCTCTACCTTTGTTGCAGTTACATAAAAAGTGGCATAACTCCAATGAAAGTTCCAGGATTTGAGCATTAACTTGTCAATGCTATTGACACGATAGGTTTGGAGGAGAGCCAGCAGTTTTGCAATTATTGATCAAGCCAGCAAAAAGGTGTACAGTGAAAGCTGCTGGTTTCTTTTTAGATGTCAAAACCACATGCTTTTTATGAATAATCTCCTATGTGCTGTTGCAAGCAATTACTACCTAAACAGCATGGACTATATTATTGGGCATGCATGTTACCATATGAAAGCAACTCTAAACTTAACCCATTCATATGGTGGCATTTTCTTTCAAGTTCATCACACAGTTGAAGAAACTTCTTTTCCACCTAAGGAAACGTAGTACTTTTTCAGATGGAATTATCTGAAGGAGAAAGGAATCATGCATAAGTTAACTAAAAATTACTATTAAAATGCCCACTTAATGTTTTTCTAATCCATTTATGTCCTGATGAGAGATGCTTCTAGCATTCCCTGGGAACAGAGATATAAAGAAGAAAGTTCTGTGGATTTGGCACTGTATTTAAAATATTCAAAACATTTTCAGATTCTAGAACCATTATTGGAGGTTCATCTAATTGAAATATTCTGTAGTCTGTGGAACCAGCAAACATTTCTCTGAGAATACTTAATTTGATGTAATTGGATGGACTTGGAAAAATTCCAGTCTGGCAATAGAAATGGATTGTTAGTTCTGCTGCTTTAGACTAGGAAACAGACTGGAGTTCTGCAGAAAGTTCTGGGCAGAGTGATACTGTTTTATCAGTCCTGAGAACCTCTTCAGAAATTGCAAGGGCCACAGAAGAACCTGGACAATGAATGTGGGAATAATCAGGGAGACAGCTTCTCCCTTTGTCTACTAAAGGTGTGTCTTTATTCATGCTCACTTACCAAAGGTCCCACTCTTAACCATTCCCAAATCAAATCCCTTCCAAGTAGTGGGAAAGCATCACCAGATAAGAAGAACTGTCATGTGCCTTGAAACAAGGCATAGAAGTGCAGCTGAGAAGCTGGAAGAGGTAAAAAGGGAAGAGCAGACCTCCACATCAGCCACCAAAGAACACCACATTTGTCCTTATAAATGGGCCTGTCAGAGAAATATGTGCATCTATTTTGTAATCCTTGTGTTTAAGGATTTCATAGGGCCTTGTGTTTAAGGCTGTACAATCAGACTTGAAGGAGTTCATCAGACTTATCAAAAAAGAGGGAGCATTTCAAGTCACAGAAAAATTAAGTGATAGGGCACAAAAGTGAACTACATGAAAATGCAGAGGACTACTCAAGCATGTACAGGGCAGGATTTGAGGGGAAAAAATTTAAATCAATAATGACAAAAAAGAGCACAGAAGACTTCAACCAGCAATGCCGATTTACAGCAACAAGGGCAGGAACAATAAAAAAAAAGACCCAAGGGCTAAACGCAGACATTTTGTTCTATTTATTAATTCAAGTGATTAACTCTGCATCTTTTATCGCTGCAACTTCTACAGTCTGTTGAACTGGCCTTCTTTGAAGCAAAACATCTGAAGAGCTGGCATATGTTCGCATAGAAGGCATAGCTTGACAACACAGCAATTTATCTTCAGATTTTGTCAATGTTTCTCTCATAAGTGCATCATCTAAATCTGACACTTATTAAATTTGTCATTCTAAAGGTTTCCTCTGTCTTTGGATGTCTGTCTTTTGAATTTTCACAAACTGTGACTTGGAAGGAAATATAAAAGGATATAATCCACTCAAGGACGTTCTAAGAATCATTTCAGAAAGGCTAGCAAAAACATCTGCTGAGTGGTCTAAAAAGAAAACAACGTCTTAAACTGTACAAAACCAGAAAACACTGAGGAAAATTCAAATGTCTTTAAGAAACTAATGGTATATTCTTATTGCAGTGCTTTGAATTCTGATCACCTCTTTTCAAATAGACTTCTAGAAACAGAAAGGGTCTACCGAATGGTCATGAAAATTACTGCAGGCATAGAAAAAGTTCCCCTTATGAAGTGATAATTAAAAAACTTTAAGACTATTCAAAGAGTATACTAATAAGAGGTTATGAGAAGTTATAAAATAATTTATCATCTAGAAGCAGTCAGTCAAGCGTTTTATATATATATATATACACACACATATATATATATATATTCCATGTCTGTGGCCATAACTAATACCACATGACTGGGGAATAATAATGTCCAGTTTCCTAAAAGGATGATTGTGTTTCATGTCCATTATATCCTGTGAAAAAGGCTGTAGTAGTCCCCTAGAAACAAAAGAAATACACAGCAATAGAATAAATGTTCCAGGCATTTTGCTACTATTGAAGCATTCCAGCTATGCTACACAATTTCTTATCTAATAGCACTCTCAGGCCACCTTTGCTGGTTTCCCACAGGAGCAGCAAATGACACCACTAGAAAAATTAAATTTATCATAAATTCATTACTCTAAAGATTTCAAAAGGAAACACTTCAAAATTAAAACTGTGTTAGAATTTTGTGCATGTAGAGCATACATTTTCCACAAAACGCAGTGAAAATATTGAATTTTACATATCTTTGTGTCTGCATTCCTTTAATAACACCTCGTAACTTAGCAGGCATGGCAGATAACTTACGGGAGACCTCACTTCTCAGCATAGCTCCGGAAAAGTGAAAACATAGCCCCAGAAAATCATTCATGCTCAAGTTGCACAAAGCAGTATTTAAAAGAGTCTGAATTGTCTCATCCCTTTCAGGACCATATGGGGAAGCAGGAACTGGTAAAGCTCCTCCTTAAACTTTTCCTTACTCTGTGTACATTATGAATGGGCAGCACTGCTCAATCAACACTTCCTTCCATTGAAAAAAACAAATAAAGAGTTAAAAAGGAAAACAGTAGAGAAAATTCTTAAGATTTCCCTTCCCATTCATTGGCCAAAGGCCTTCATCAGCTGGAGAAAGGACACATTCTCAGCAAAATGGGAAAAAACATTTGTCTTTTCCATAATTATTCATTCATAGAGCAAGAGGGAGCATGGCAAGAATGGTAACTTAGAGTTTGTTTTTTGCAGCTATGACCTAGTTTCAGAGCCAGCTGGAGGGAAGCTACAGCCTAGCACCTCCTGTCATTCTGCCTTATGAGAGGGTGGAAGATAACACAACCCTTCTAGCTTGTACTTGAGCTACAGAAACCTGTGAGCCTTTGCATAGAAGAAAAATAAGACTGAAAAGAGAAAGAGAAGTTTGAAGAGAGGACAGAACACCTGGATGTAAGCTAAACATGTAACACAACAGTATCAAAAAATTCAATTGCTTACAATTTCACTGAAGACTCAGTACAGTAAGCATCATTTTACAAAAATCAGGGTGATGATTGAAAGTAAAATCCAAACTAACATTCTGTTCCTTTGAAGTCATAAAATGATAATTTATTCCACTTACAAAGAAGCAGAAATGTGATTTTTTTTTTTCTTTATTTTGTTCCCTCTAGCAAGTGCACAGCATTACTTAAGTATATATGCAGGAAAATGGCAAGAAATCAGACCTTGTTTTATCTAGGCATTCATGGTCATTCTTACTGATACACATTGTACCATATGCGTCCACAGATCTTTACAGAGGAATACAAAGACAAGCTCCTGCCTCCTGGGGTGCCAGCTATCCAATTAAAATAAAAACTATGAAAGTAATTAAAACAGAAGGTGCAAAATAAAGAAAAAGTAGAAGTAGGGGTGGTTTTATACCACAGAAGATAGCGCTCTAGTCAAGAACAGTATGTGTTTTTCTACTCTATTAAATTCAAATGTAATTGCTTTTCAATATTCAATTTTTAACATAATTTTAAATATTTATTTTCTTTAGAATATCTGTAGGAGGTTCTATGGAAGAAGAAAAAAAAAAAAAGTGTTCCAAAAGGGATTTCAATGAGAACTACTGTGATTGCTTGTATGGTTTTCAGATCTACAAAAGGTTATTTTTAAAAAGCCCAGACTTGGAGGATAGTATGGAAGATCGCCAATATAGGAAAACAACTGAGAAAATAAAGTTCACTGGCTGCAGCAGAAGTCAGTACCTGTCATCCTGATGATTTCAGGAAAGAATGTAGCAGGCAAATAACACAGTGACCCAAATGCCAAGTGGAAGTCAGGAAGTAATACAAACAGGGACAAAGACAGACAGAAACAAGCTTATACAAAATTTGAAAGCTAGAACCTAAATCTCGAAGCAGCAGCTTAGTGAAGAGCAGTGGATGAAGCCATCATGTAATTCAATCAGTAGGAGAGAGATTATCTCAGCAAGAGCATTTTGTAGATAGTAAAGTCAAAAAGAAAATAACCCAGTGGAGGAGATTGCAGTAGGTTATGTGAGACACGTGAGACTTGAGAAACTTCACACACTATTGTGGAATAATTCTGGGAAGGTTTTACAGAAGTGAGAAGGACAATTAATTAGAAACTTCCCCAACATACACAGCTACACTTCCCAGAAGTCATCATGTGTTCCAGTGGCTTTTCTCTTTCAAACACATTCAAACAACAGGAATTCAAACATATTAATGGGGAGGAAAATTCAGGGGGTGGGTGTGTCAGTTGTTCCCCCCATCAGCACCAAATTATCTCTAGAAAGACAAAAGAATAGTTAAGAACCTGGGCAGAAGGAAGAGTCAAAAATGGCACTACAGTTATCTAACCAGCTGCCTGGAGTGTAACAAACTCACTACCACCAATTGAATAGGTACAGGGAAGGGAAGGGGAGCAAATGACAAGATCTAACATTTGGCACTAGCAGCGGGAGATCCAGAAGATGTCAGAGACAGAATTACAGATACAATACTAAGCAGAAAGGGAAGAGGCCAAATTTGAAGTCATCTGAGGGAGACCACATGGTAGCTGAAATCAAAAGAGTCCGTAAGGTCCCAAGGAGCAGAAGAATAGGGGAAGTGCAAAATGACAATGGACAGGGAAGAAACTCAGAGTGCAGCAATCGATTAGAAGAGGAGCAAAAAAAATGGTCTGTAGATGTCAGAAGTAGAGCGCCAATCAATCACCTTTTTCTGATTATTGTGAGTGGACAGAAACCATGAAAACCAGAGAGATCAAAGAGGAAGCTGAGGCAACACAAACAGCTTTAGGAGCTGAAAGGAAAATTTGAAAATTGGCATAGACATAAAGGGAGAACCACAAGGATGATAGATGATACGCCATACAGTAGGTGTTACATATGAGCAGTCTACGATTAAAACGACAGCAATTCCCTGTTATACACGACATTGACGAAGAAATTGGTTTTGACCTATAACAGTTCTTTCCTGCTTTCAAACATTTCAATTTAGTAGCAATAAAAATCCCTATGAATTCTAAATGCAATTCTAATTGTGCTTATAAATGGTAGCTTCACAAGTATGTATGTTACAATAAACACAAATTAGAGGTAAATTAAACCTTAATTATATCTAGCAAGTTTTATGTCCTAATTAAAAATTGTATTCCAACAATAAAAATGACTTACCACCTGAATTAGCTCTGCCACAATTGTCTAATCTTCCTAAACATTCTTTGTGTGCTCCAGCTCCACACTTAGAACATAAATAGCCTTGATAAAATGTTCCCCTGTAAAATAAAATTAGATAGTGATACATTAGAGGTGATAAATTCCATGCATAAAGGAAGTAAGAGACATGGCAGAAGGTATTAGAAGTCATTTGCTGTTCTGCATAATGATAGTCTTTAAAGACTCAAGAAAAAGTGACAACTGACAAGCAGCTCATCTACTTTTCATTACTACTAGCCATTTAAAAAATCACAACCAGATAGTTCTTCTGGACTACTAGTAGAATAACAATCTCCATTTCAATTTAGCCCAAAACAACTTTGGCACAGTACACTTGAAATGGTACTATTATGTATCTGTCCTACACTATCTACACTTTGTTTCATCTCAACAAGAATTTGCCTAGACACCATGAAGAATAAGATCCATTTCAATAGAGTTTTAAGTGTGAATATGTCTTTAAGCATTAAAGAGTTTATAGGCTATATTGTAAATATTCTTGAATTTAAATTTGTTCATTTTAAAGAAAAAAATAAGATAGATATCTGGGTACACTTTAGTTAATATTCAGAGCTGCTAAATAAGGAGTCACTTTCCTTACTCTAAATGTTCTCCAATTCCCCTTACTGAATTGGAATCTGAATTCGAGTCTGAGGAAACTGATTTATTTTCAGATCTGTGCACAGCTTTTCTCTTAGGTACGATTCACTGAATGGCTAACAGGGAAACAGTTTTTTACATGTACCTCTGAGCAACTGTATGAGTTCCACCTACTGATGTATCTTGTTCCCTTCCACACTAGACTTGTCTGTCTCCAAGATTACCGTGACCTGTTTGAAGTGATTATGCATCCTAGTCTAACATGACACCTTCAGCTTCAAAGGAAAATCAGGTGTCTCATACAGAACACAGGACTGAGTAAGTTGAACTTGAACGAATGTACAGCAACTGCTATTTACTACAGCAATTTCTAGACTGTTAGTGATGAAACATATTTTTAATTAAGTTCAGAAGCTTAGTATTTTTAAGTATCGGAATACAAAAACTTAAAGACCAATAAGTAGAAAGTATAAAAATATTTTTATGCAGGCTTCCATTTTAATTTTTTTTTTCCTTATTGCTACACAAGAATGCAAGATTCTCCAGATAAAAGTACAGGACATAACATTATCCTTCACTACAGATGCTTTTAAGACTAGGACTTTATCCCCACTTAAAAATTAGTCACTAATGTTCAGATTTTTTTCAAGTATTTACACATTACTTTATGGTGGAAGCCTAAAATTACAATCAATTTTTTAAAGTTATTTCGGCACTTTATGAGCCTAAGTCCAGTTAAGCTTTCATTACAACTTAGATATCCAGTGGCACATCTATATACCACAAGGTAGTACTTGATACCCAAGCTATCTTTGAGCAAATTGGCATGCCTATGCCAAACAATGCAGCATCATGCAGGCTGCATCCTGAAAGCAAGACAGTCATTTCTCAGCAACAGCAGTTAGTGCAGCAACAGAGACACAATGACTCAACCATACTGCTTCAAATTCAGAAATTAGCTGTGCCATCTTTAAGTTCAGCACATCTGCACCACACTTCTTCTAGTCACTTAAACCTTATTGTATTGAGAAAAAAGAATCCTCTAAAAAAGAAAAAATCTCTGAAATTCCAGGTCAGTCTAACTGTTCAGGAAAAAGGTTGCTAAGGGAAAAAAAAAACCAAAACAAAAAAAACAAAAACATGACAGGGAGGAACATACCTCAGGTTATTTTATTCTGTGCCTGTGCTTAACAAAAGCACTACCCATACTTCAAATGCCCTTTCTAAAGTGCTGTGACTACATTTTTCTGAACACCAACAACATGCAACATGAGCACCTGAACCAGCCAAAGTTTACAAAGCTTTTGCCTGTACAACTTAGACTATGAAATTTAGGTACAATACATACTTCTATACCATCAGACATTCCATATTTACAAAAAACCAAGATAGCTCCTAAAAAATAGCTCGAATAACGAATGAGAAACTACAACTGTGCAAGCATGTGTGTGTTTCAGAGGAAAGAGGCAGAAAACAGAATTTCTTAGCTTAAGTTAGCCTTACGAATGAAAGCATTAGTTGTCCGCTAACATTTCTTATCTAGCTTTACAACATCTATCTACAATTTGCCTACATATCTCTGGTTCAGAAAGGCCTATTAATGCCTCACAGTTATTTTCTGTCTCACAAAGCAATCTCCCCATATCAAACATTTCTGAGCAGCAGTATCACTTAATTTTCTGAAAAAAACATTCCATCTGTTCTTGTGACTGCTAGTCTACAGCAACAGGACCCACTGAACAGCCGTAGTAGTGAAAACTGTACAAAATGGTTGTCATTTACTCTTACATAGGAACTGCTGTATTAAATCAAGCAATTCTTACAAAAGAATCATGATAAAGCAGCCTTCTGATAAATGGGGAGCATCTGGAAGTTTTGAGCTTTTAACAGCACTCCTAATATTTGGAAATTTAATTATAAAAACTTGCTAATACAATCACAAATACTACATATTATTTCACGGCTAGTCTGTCTTAGGTAACCAGCTAGCCATGTATTTCCACATAGTCCTCTGACTTAGATATTTCACCTGAGGGAAAAAAAAAATTCCTTAAAAAAATCTTACCTCAGAAGCATCTGACAGACTTTGCAAGATGTCACACGACTGAAGGTATGCATTTTGAACTCATGAAAGCTTGTATCCGCATAGTCTGGCCGAATGTTTGACCTAAAAAAAAAAAAATTTGAAAGTCTGCTTTAAACTGATAAAATCTACAACATAATGCAGCATTCACAGCAGGAAATCTGAATCCACAAACAACTGGTTTTATTTACACTTTAATGTTTTCCACTGAGGTGAACCAGAAACATGGACTTTACAACACACCTTGAAGTGAAATCTGAATTCTGATATTTTGCAGACCAGGGTCCTTAAAATACACCCTGTAACTACCTCAGCTGTCACAACAACTCGAAAGCCATACATCAAAACAGACACAATCTGGGTTTTATTCCAGTTTAAATAACTAGGATCACTTTATGAATCTAAAGAACGCTCACTTTTTCATTCTCAAGTATTTTTTTACATGGATGTACAAGGAAGAGCAGCTCACACTGAGAAACACCACATTAGGAAACATGAGCAGCAAATTTGGGATGGTTAGGTCACTATTATGCAGCAAAACACTGGATAATGAGCGATTTCAAAAGGAATTAGAAAGTATATACTGGGGTTTGGCTAGTCTTTCTTAAATGAGTTGCCCAATGCCTACAGCTGTTGCTACACACACTTAATATAATTTAAAAAATAAAATAGAAGATCACTATTCACATTACTAAAATACCAACACGCTACTAGCTGACTTATTTCCAAAGACCAGATTTATGTACAAAGCACTGATCCCTTACTGTACATGTGTTTTGTTTATTCTCCCTACTGATCTCTTTTAAAAGCAGAAGTATAGTTTAAAGATTACCCACTCATCTTCCCCATCTCAAAGACTGGAGGGAAGAACAGGAATTTTCAATTTATTTTTTTTTTTCAGTAACATCTCCAAACTAACTTAACACTGTCAAAAACAGTGCTAGGTGCATAATTTAATATTAAGCTAGACTGTATCAGACAGGAAAAATATATATAGTAAGGATTAATGTATTTTTAAATATTATTTATATTGGAATGCATAGGATACCATAGATTTCTGGTATTTTTCTAGTAAAAATGTGTGAATGCATGATATATATGAATTAAAATAGGAAAAAAACCCTGAGGTTAAGAATGCAAGAATCTACAACACTCAAAGGAAAGACCAGAAGCTTTTCTGACACACAAAATTACAAATTCATGCATTAAAGTTGGAGATACTTATCTAATAAGTTTAAATTTTATTTATTATAAATAACTTCTAGACCGAAACACAGACCAGCCACAAATTGCTATTACCATAAATATAGGTAACCATGCAAGCATCCATCTCTCTAGGACTGAATGAAAAGGCTTATGAAAAAAACATTCAAAGAATCTGTTTAAGTACCTAGTGTCAGAAAGGTCAGTCTTCTAATCCACCTGCTGAAAATGAAACTGTACTCAAAAAGCAAATGGGATTTTGCTTTTATGCTTGAGAATAACCTTACACTCAGTACTGTTTTAACTAGCTCACTAGTGTCTCTCTTTCTGCTATGATATGCAAGATGTCAATACCACAACTCCTATTCACTACAGCAGGCAAGAATACTACCTGTTCACAGCAGGAAGGCAGAGGTATCGGGATAAAATTAATCTCAACAAGTAAAGCACTTTTCCGACCAGGAGAACAATACATATTATTTTGGGGCTGGTAACTCTGCAGATCAAGGCCAGTATTTCACAACATGTTTGCCAAGGGGCTGCTAAAACCTCTTAAGCTACACAATTAACTATTGACAATCCTGAAAACTCTCTAGAGCAAGTTACAGTACTTACACTCCCAATAAAAGCTGCTTTTTGTTGACCATTTGGTTGAGACCAGGATAGCTTCCAAAAACGTGTCAAAAGTATCAGTCTAATGTGCAGAGACTCATCAGATTTGAAAGTGTATCAAATTAATCCTAACCACCTGACCATTTTTCAAGAACAATCCAAAGGAAAAAAATCTATTCATTTTATTAGAACAGGAGCAATCTTCAAAAATAATAAGCATAGTGGATGAAAAGAAAAAACTGACAACTTCACACAGATAGTTGTTTGACACAAGCAGATTACTAGATAACTTCCTTTTGTATGGAATAATATCTTCTGTTCTTCTCAGGCTATCTTCCACAGAGACTGAAATACATGAACTACTGAAAACATACCTCCTATTAACAGAACAAATACACTGTGTTCATTCTTCTTTATACTAAAAGTAATATTTGAGTATTTTATAAAGCCATTCAGTTTCATTTTGCAGTCCTTAATAGAAAAAGTTATTTTTGAGAGGGGAAAAAAACCCCATAGTCCTAAAATGGCAAAGAATGAACATGTTGCCTCACAGAAGAGCTGTCAACAAGGCCCTCCACCTTCTTTCAATCTAAGTTGTTTTGTTGTAGCTATGGCCTAAATGATCAGATTATAGTGTCCTAAACAAGACAGAAGATTTATCCAGATGAACAGACTTACACCTTCAGCTCTCTACTGTATGCTAAAATTTGGATACGTTTGTGCTGCTTGCGTAAATAGAGGAATACAAAACTGAAAACATGTAATACAATACAAACTTTTGGAATATAATGCAAATTTTGGTTTATGTTGTCCACTATTAGCTACAGGAGGACCTAGATTGGTTCCAAGTACTAGTCAATTCTTAAGGATCATACAAATATATCATAACAAGCAAATCCCTCAGTTTCTTTAAACCCCACCAGGTTTTAGTTCAGTGATTGTAAGATTCTAACCGATTACTTCAATAAATTCTCTATCTAAAAACCTGTTCTTTCTTCACCACCTACACATTTCATGCTCCCTGACAATTCACTGCCATCTAACTTATTGCATGTCCTTGTTTGCTAAGGCCAAACTAGTACAAAGATCTTCTCAAATAGCTTTTTTAAAAGACATGAGCCTGAGTAGCTCTTCTAGGGGCACACAGCAACTATTCATAAACCAAAAGGGCCTTTTAAATTTTGCTAGCCTTTTGCTTTCCTTCCACCACTCAAAAGGTACCATTTTTTTTCCTCTTTTTCCCCCGCCAAGCCACATCACCCAAAAGGAAAAGCCTAAAAATCCCTAACAACAAAAGTTTAGTGAATGAAAGGAGATGCCACTGAAGTACATCACCCACGAGTCAAATGAATCTGGAAGAGACTAGAGCCTCAGCATATTACAGCAGATCCTGTGCAGAAAGAGCATGAATCAACAGAGCAGAAATCTAACCTGCTGCTCAGTCTTTTTGCGCAGATTTAGAAGATACTTCCAAGTAGTTGTCTCAAAAGGAACAATGCCATTGCACTCACTGAGAAGAGCAACATTCTCATTTTCTTTTGTCTCTTCCTTTCTGTTTCTAATCATTCAACCTAACTGTCTCAGATTTGAGGTCAATCAGGAATGGGAAAATAACGTGTTTTATATCAGTTTACACATCAGCAAAATACATTCTCAAATTTGAGAGTCTGCCACATTTCCAAAAGATCAGGATTTTATCCATTATCTCATGATCCAATAGAAATGGCCTATTGAAAATATTAATATTTAGATACATTTATATCAGTTGATTCATATTAGACAAAAGGCATCTATTTCATCACTGCTCAAAAAAAAGCACTTACATTTAAGCAAAAGCAAAGTTTCTAGTCATCGATATTCTGATAAAGACAGTAGAAAACAATAGTCCAAAATCAGAAATAATATGCTTACTTTGAAGACAGAGTACTGTAAAATGAATCATCATATACAAAGATAATGTTACAACAAAACCCAGGAAAAAACTACAGCAAAAATAAAAAGATAATGCGTATTATCTACTATAAACGTAGAGGTAGAATAAGGAAAGCTTTGTGGAAAAATACATATTGCAGTCCTAACTGCAGACAGGAAAACTCTTACACATTGTAGTACCTGATCAGTCATGCTGCATAATGGCAAATCCAGTTCTGTAGTCAAATTACACATCACATCAGACAAGTCTGAGATAATCTGAGATAATGCACTGTAGTAGTAGATATCAAGTAGCAAGTCTTTTAATGTAAAGTCTGAAACTTAAAGAATCTAGGGGTTTGATATTTTAGTTTTCAACATATTGCTTTTCAACAAATCAAAAATAATGCAAAACCAACCCAACTCAATACCACATGAAAATTTCCAACTAGACATTAAGCACAACTCATCTGTGACTGGCAATGCCCAGATACCACAAGGACCATAGGAAATTTTTTTCCACAAAACCTTTCACACTGAATAGCATATACTATTTTTTTAGTTTTTAAATACAGTAAATAAAGCTGATAACTTCAAGGGCAAACTTCAAGCGGTCACAGCATAGCATACAACTTTTCATTGTCACATCCAACCATCAAGAAGCTCTTTCGGTTACAGCCTTCCAGCCTTCCATCAATACCCTGAGATCACAGACCAGAGCTGCCACAACACAGTAAAAAACATCTCATCCTTTTCAAACCTTCTTTTCCGCTCTGCTTCCCAACCTGTGGGCATGTTGCAAGACACAGAAAAAACTGAATATTAGGTCAATATTAATTTTAAGCTTACTAAGAATATTTTCTTCATTAGAAGGAGGATTTCTTGCCAGAAAAAAAAAGGAAACCACACACAATTGTTATAAAAATTTGAATATATTGAAGCAATTTCTGTGGCTACCATTAGGAAAATCTAATTTAGGACTTAAACTGGGTTCCCTTCCCATCAGGCACAGTGGAACAGTCACCAGTCAAGCCCTCTCACAGGTTCCTCAGTCCTCCTTCCACAACAGCTTCTACTATGGGGTACCCGAGGGTCACTGCAAATGATATGTTTTATCCATCTCTGCTGTCAAACAACCTTGATGAGTGGTCAGTGCAGAAGTCACCCATGTACCAGGACTGCTTAATCTGAGGTAAATAATGACAGAGAACTGTTCCTCATTTTATGGTAAAACTCTCTTATTTTTACAAGCAATGTGGGGAGTCAAAAGTAGTTTCTTTCCCTTCCTCTCTTCTACTTTTTCCCTAGGCTGTTTTAACTCCTACACTCAAGCAGAGACAAAATGTCAGGATGCAGAA